GACATCCAACTGAGCCAGCTGATCAGTGAATGCTAATATCGGGGGAACACTCCAATCAGTCCGTATTTGACACGAACATGCGTGAGCCAGAGCCCACTGAAGACGGTTCTGGGGAGCCTACATCCCAGCGAAGACAAACACGACCGCCCGTAGCGCCCCCGTCCAGCTGGGACCAGCTGCTGTAGCGGACGGCCGACGCGTCAGGAAGACGCTGGCCGGCGGGCGGGGGCCCTCGTCTGGCCGCGAAACTGACCAGGGCGAGGCCGGCCTTGGCGGCGGCGTACTTGCTGTCAGCTGCCACTCGTACAGGTTGGTGGCCCAGATGCCGAGCCGGTCACCCCTCTCCAGGCCCAGCGAGGAAGCTGTGCGCCAGCCGGTCCGCCTGACGGAGCGGATCACATGAACGTCACGGACTGTGCCGGGCTGGGTCAAACGGTGACACTGCTCCGATCCTACTGGGTTAATCCCGCGGACAGACCAGCTTTGTTGTAAGGGAAGAGCGCACGTCCTCGCACGCCCTTTTTCTGGAGCGCCAGCACCCGCAGCGGTCATACTAGCGCTCAGCAACCACAGCGCAACCGGGATTCGAATCCGGACCCCCACGTGGAGGCTGAGAGCGTTAACCACTCGGCCATTACTCCCCCTGGGCAGACCGAGTCACGCAGGGTCAGGTAGAATAGGTCACTGACCCGTCGAGCGTGGTTGCTAATTTAAATAAACCTTCATCAAACCTTCATCTGGGAAACCTAGCGGCCCATCCACCCACGCCAACAGCCGCTGACGGTCATCATCTGGACATGCTGTCGAGCACGCGCACCTCTTGTTTGACCTGAAGCCATGTTTTTCGGATATCCTGGTGCAAAACACGAGCGCCTCGGTGCTGCTGTAGTCGTAGGCCGCGCGGTCGATGACTTGGCCGAGCGTGGCCGAAGACAGCGGGGTGGCTGCCTGGACAGTGGATGTAGCTGTGGCGAAGGTGCGTCTTGGGAGCCGACCTGCGGTCATAGGAGCTGGTTAGGGTCGGCCCGCCACCCCCGTCGTGCGTCTTGGGAGCCGACTTGCGGTCATAGGAGCTGGTCGGGTTCGGCCCGTCACCCCAGACATACAGCCCGCAACGGCGAGCAGCACAGCGGCACGGCGTGTGAAGATGGCCTGACTTCATGGAGCGGTAAAGTGAGGGTGGCTCGGCATTTTCAATGACAGTGATACTATCACATAAACATGACAGTAAAGCGTCTTCAATGCGACAGGAGACGCTGGTAAACAGACGAGATGCAAAAAATATATTTGATAAAAATGGGAGGTTTCGATCAGCTATCACTTTCCACGGTAAAACATTAAAATACCGATACTGAAATCCGACTGAAATGTCCAGTTTTAATGCAATCCCGTACGTATAACAGTAATGACATAACATATTAGTTTGGATCAGCTATCATTATCCACGGTAAAATTGCTTCTGACATCTGACCGCAATGCCCAGTTTTTAACACAATGGTTTGCACATCGCGCCTATACAAACCGGGGCTTGTACACTGACCGAGACCGGGACATTGTGCGTTTACCGGGACTGGTGATATTTCAAACGTCGTTCATCATCAGGCATTTAAAAGGTGTCCCGCTTCTCTGCGCCAAGAGGCGACGCTACTGGCGTTGGCGGCCCCGCCGCCAACGACGCAATGTTGGCTCGCGCCCCAAAAACGTCAAGCGGATCACAGCATTTGTAAGCTGTTTAACGCTTATGAATCTCTGGGACACATTCTCCGCGCAACATTGTTCAGCGCGCTCGGGGTAACGGACAGATACTATTCAAAGTGGTTCATCCTTGTTCGCTGCGAGAAGAGCTGGCGCCGTTGACGGCGGCACAGCACTGCCTTCCGCCACTGTGCATTGGTTCGCACCTCAATGGTGCGCAGTGTGTCCTGATCCCTTTTTTGTCTTACGATGCTCGCGGATATTGACAGCGGCCTCCATATGAGGATGTTCACCCTTTCTCGTGCTCTGCGGCATGTTCTCAAGGACTTGGAGCTTGAACGACTTGCTTTTCCCGAACGTACGAAAATGATTCCCACAGGTAAATGCTACAGCGTGCCCTGCCTTCCTACGCGCTGTGACCGGCCGGTATCGGTCGGCCGTGACTTTCAGCCGCAGCGTCACGAAGGCTGAGCCCGTCATGTGTACGCATTTTACCACAGTCCGTGCACCCGTCTGTCCTGTGCGTCTGGGTAAAAAATACAGACACACAGACAGACGTACGCTCTTAACTTAACATCATGTGTCG